TTACTAGCTATGACTTCGGAACAATAAAGACTGATAACAGCGTACATACATTCTGATAATTACTTCATTCGAAAATGAAACAACACTTCAGATCAATTTCCGTGTGTATTCTCGTATCATAACTGTACATCGAATCAAAATAATATTTGAAAAATGTCCCTTCCATTCTGTCAGGAAGACAACTCCATGGCATTCTATAGTTAGTTCATCGTAATGATATTCTATAGGTATAAGTGGATCTTCGTTCACGTGTTATCCAGCAATGCTTTACAAAGTAAAGATATAGACAATGCCCTCAGATTATAACGAATCTGATGACAAAGATATTCCCACAGGGAATGTTCTTCAGAAATATCGGCTATCATTCCATCACATGGAATACCAGTTTAGACGAACTCGACAAGCCAAGTCAAGTTGTCAATTTTGATGTATGTCGAACAACACTTTTCTAAAACTCGTTTGGCTATAGAACGGCAAGAGTTTTGAAGATATTTAATACCTATACGGATTCCCTTCCGTGCGCCCCAAGAGATCAAACAACTTTTTGCCAAAGGAGGTGTTCCCAAGAACTTAATTATAATATCCATTTTCAAACAAACTCTAATATCTGACTCCCCTTATTCCTATCCTCTCTAGGTACGCACGATGTTCTTCGAACATCATAGGGATTCCCTTCAGTGCGCTCCAAGAGATTCTTGTACATGGTGCATGCTAGAAATATTGAGATATTCGAAAATAATCTGGAACGCGTGATACAGGCAGATCGATGTAGTCTTAATGTCTGCATAGTGATGTTCCAGCCTCTCTAAGGGGATCATTACATTACATTCAGGATGTTCAATGAACGTACATTCACGATGTCAATAGACGTAAATTGAAAGCAGTCAGTCCATTAGAGACGTCCGATGGACGTTCGGATGTTCAATGGACGTCCACTTGAAGCAGTCAATGGCTACCAAAACAAAAAACCCATATTCATATAAAATGTTATTTATTTCGAAAATATCTGTAAGGTATAGTGAAATATCATTTAATATAAATGGAACATATGCTTGGAATTGATTGCATGAATGAGTGGAATATTAAAATTTTATACTCACCACAGTTCAGTTCAAATTCTATATGTACGTCCTTTTGATGTCCTGCGAACACTACTTCGGACGTACAGTGGATACACAGGGTGTTGCGAAATTCAACCGACAACGCTTGACAGGTGATAGCCATCGTGATTTCATAATCACTGAGATAGGGATATACGGTCTTCAAGTATTCAGTTCTCGAGATACAGGGCGTTAAAGTTAAGAAATAAAAATGGTTGTTTCGCAATATATCAAGAATAATTGAATATAATGCATTCAACTTCGGTATCTGGTTTCATCTTTGAATGGGTCATTTTTTGACCAGGAAGCCATTCCAGATATTTTATCCAGTGGTGCCCTACAGGGGGTTGTGGCAGCTTTTCCTCCCATATTTTTTACGCCACTGATTAATTTTCGATTATTTCCAATTCCTCGAATTCATTGTTCAATTTTGTTCAAAAAATGCATCACAATCAACTGAGCTGAAATGAACAGTTTTCGGGATATTCGACCCAAAATAGAAGATTGCATAGTAATATTTCATTTTCAGTAGTAGAAAATTGCAAGAATATTTTTCTGGTGTTGAGTAGACTAGATACTATTTTGTGGGCAGGTTTGAAACGTGACCGATATTCCCAAATAGCTGGTTGGTCAGACTGATGATCAGACTTCAAACTGAACGTATGTGCCCGGTCAAACCAACCAACTTTGACTAGTGCTGTTTCACCCAATTAAAATTCAAAGCTATTCCTAATAAATCATATAATATCCAAGCCTTCCTTTCCGAACGAATCAGAAGCCTAAAGGTTATCATACTCTTGATAACACAATTATGTCTCATGGATATCCTATGGAAGTCCTGTGGGGACATTCAGGACGTCCATAGGACGTTCGAATTCAGTACCGTGGACGTCCATTGGACGTCTGTGGGACGCACAAATGTCCCACTTGAGGACCAACTGGAGACGTCCTTGAGGGAATTCCCTGAGACAACTATCAAATGCCTAAATCCTACAGTAGTCCGCATCAAGCACTACAAAGGACATCCTCAGGATATCTGTAGGACAACCTATCAGGAACGTTGAGGGATATTCATTGGATGTCCATAGCATGTCCCAGGGACCTACGAATTTTTCTTGAATTCGAATTTTTCTGGGTCGCTCTAGGACCAGATCTTGCATAACCGATGGGGACATCCAGCTGAGTTGATGGTCCGTAGAAGGTCCCCAATAGATCCTGAAAAAGTTTTCCAAGGATGTCCAATGGACTTACGTGAAGGATATTGATAGGGAGTATTTATAGCCTACGAGCAATCATTCGTCGGCGAGGTGTAAGTTGACGCTCTCGCAGGGACAACATATTGAAAGTACCAACTGGGACGTCCGTAGGACGTTATTTCCAGGACATTGGGAGAGTACAGTTCATGTACCAATTGAGACATCCGACGAATATCCCTAAGGGACATTCTAAGGATGTCCCTAAAGGACATTTCGTTTTGTTATACGATCCTGGAAATATTAAGGGCGTCTGTGCAGAGATATTTGAAGGAATGTACCATCAGGGACATTTCATGGTTATCTAGAAGGAACATTAGATAAGATCAGAAGTCATGCCAGAATATGTACTACTCGGGAAATCTGATGGATGTCCCTGAAGGAACGTTTAAAATCATGTCCCATCAGGGGCAAGGACGTCCTTGCATGGACATTCTACAATACGTACCACGTAGGACGTCAAAGGGATGCTATTTCTAGGAAATTTGAAATGATGTGCCTGCTGGGACATTCCGTGGACGTCCTTGCTCGGACATTGCATGAGATGTACGGGATGGGACGTCCCAAGGACACTTATTTTTGGTCCGGGACATTCGGACTTGAATTGTACCAAATAGGGAAGTCCCTAGGACGTTGTGTGCTATTAGGTACGTGATATCACGATGTTCTGAATATTCGAGGTGATTCTGTTGCTTCATTGTTCACGAAATCTGATTGCCGAGCAACAAACACCACGAGTCCGTCAGGATGAGTGGTATGGCTGTGCGGCAACACAATTGAGTTTACAATGGAAGACAGAATTATGAGAAGATATTCAGGACAGGGTGGTATTTTGCAAGACTATTTCACGTTCACGAAGCATGAAGAGCATTTATTTCAAATGAGTGATTCATTCTGACAAGTAGAGCCATGATTATTTGATGCCAAATTGACAGACTTTGCTCTGCTATCCATCGTTACATCTAGACTTTGATTTGCTATCCATGGTTATATCGTTGAAATCATGAACGCTATCAGACCAATTAGAATTGAAAGAATAAAGCTCATGCTTTCGCGATGACCACACGTTGTCTCTGGCTGTGATTGGTCAGATTATGTGATGAGTGAAATAGTCCACACAATATTATGAAATACCTATTCCACATCACCTACAACGTCATAAACTATTATCAGAGCACATAAATGAGAAAGGTATATGAAAAGGAATATCTGAACATATGATATCATATCTGCTTTGAATGATCCAGTTCCAAATAGTCTGAATTCTGAATTCCACCACAAACACAACACACAAAATGACGTAACTTCCTTGTCTGTCGTCTACATAGGTTCATCTCGGAGCTCGACTCGATCCGTCTCCTCTGTTGCACCACTTCATGTTCCGATCAGAGCGCCATCTCGCATCCCCTTCACCGTGCGTCCATCTTCGTACATAAATTGAATGTATGTATGTACATAAACGTACGATTTGTAAACGAACAAACTGGGTCCAATAATGTACGTTACTTGGACGTTCTTAAACTTCCATACCATGTTTGTTTCACAATATCGAATATTGTACTTTCAATGGACGTTCATAAGAAGTACAATATTTATCTAGAATCGTACATTCATAAAACGTACATAGACGTTCACTTTGTAAAAGTACAATCTATATCATCATCGTATATTTCTTGAACGTACTGAAACTGCCATAATATGTATTATTCATAGTGTCGAAAATTGTACATACACTAAACAATCATTGGACGCACGAAACTTGAACGTACAAAACATATCTGGAATTGCACATCCACTGAACGTGCATTGATGTCTATTTTATAAAAGTGCAAACTGGATCCAATCGAGTACAACTTTCGAACATTCTGAGACTACCATCATATGGATGATCCATAATGCCGAATATTGTACTTCCAATGGACACCCATCAGACGTACAATTTTGAAGTTATAAAATATATCAGGAATCGTACATTCATTGATCGTACATAGACGTTCAAATCCTGAACGTACAATTTAGATCCGATTCCGTATATTTTTCATCGATCTAAAACCTACGAATATGGATGTTTCGGTAATGTCGAGTATCGTACTGCCAATGGACATTCATAAGGCGTACAGTACTGAACGTTACAAAATTTATTCCTAATTGTACATCTATAAAACGTCAATGTTAGATTCATGGACGTTCGGACATCATTTGGCCCTGAACTAGACGTCTTGTGCTATATGAGATTCTTATAAATGACGTATAATAGAAGTCATGTTGTGAACTATTTGGCACCTAACAAAAATAACATCCCAAACTGGTACCTACGTCCCACCAATGTGATCTTCCGTCATATGGTGCCTAGGTCATTCTTCATGAAATGAAGGCTATCGTATGTGATAAGCGTTGTCTATCAAATTTCGAGACACCTTGTAGATAGTTCGTATAATGTTTTTATAAGTTAGACGGACTGGCGATGTCATTTATCAATTGTTTCATTTTTATTTCAGATTACTGTGGAGGGACTAACGGCTCTTCGTTCCATCAAGCAAATGAAACAGAATTACCAATAATCATGTGATAGATGGATCCGTCCCAAATTCGAACATAATTGCTCATACCTGCTCAATATAGTACCTAACTGAAAACATGTGAGAAGATGGATAAGCTAGATAATTGTGATAGTGAGTTTGGTTATTCCTACAATTTTCCGATGGAATCGGATAATGAGACAGAATTGGCGACAAAAAACTTACAGAATATCAATAAAGAGCTAGTTTTCAAGAGCAACGAACTGGAAAATGATTCCTTAGCAGTATTGCAAAACATTCATATACGAAATAACGTTGAATATTTACCCACAGATGTTCAAAGTTGTATAGAAGTTGAATCTACGAATATTATCAACATATCAGAAAACCAAATAGTAGAAATCCAGTTCCAGAATGGAAATGGTACTGTAAACACTGAATATATTGTGAATGACAAATTACTAGAGACTAATATCGATGGAGAAGATATAGAGATGAAGTCAACCTTCGTTAACTTAAATGAAGGAGTCTACGAAGAAATCATCCCATATCAGATATATGACGAAATAAATAAAAATAGCACCGATAATTTCGAAATTGTCCAACATATCGACGGAAACATATCGGAGAACTCATCAAACACAGACAACTTTAGTCAAAATACTTTCAACTTGTCTATACTTAGTCCTCAAAGTGAAAATGATGAACAATCAGAAACAGACCTGACCAGTTTGAACTGGCTGCATAACATCACGAATATTATGGCAGTTCCTAACTTACCCACTCCTCCAGTGTCACCAACACCGAAGCCATCGAAGAGGAAACCCAATAGTAATAGCAGCCATCAAGAAGATTTAACAATAAACATAAATTATTATAAAAAAAATGGAGATAAGAAGCCTCCATTTTCTTACGCTACTCTTATTTGTATGGCGATGGGAAAGAATGGAAATAAGATGACGTTATCAGCCATTTATCGGTGGATACGGGAAAATTTTCTGTATTACAGAGAAGCCCATCCTAGTTGGCAGGTAAGATACTCTCTAGATAGGTGGATAAAACCTGAATGATGTTTTATATTTTATGCACTTCAGGGATTCAAAGGATACCTTTATTCACTATTTTCTGGGAAAAACATGGTACTGTAACTCCGTAGGGATTTGAACCAACTTCAAATCCATAGGGATTCAGATTAAATTTTGTACTGTGTTGGCTTCAAGAGCAATTCATTAAAGAACGTGGAATCGTGTAAATACTTTATTGAAATCTTCACATCGTAATCATTTTATTCCCGATGTCACTTGACAACCCCCTATCACACAAGGTGATATGTGATATATATCTCCATTACATCTCCCTTTCTTTTGAAAACAATGAATGAAGAAAATATAATGAATTGACAAACATAATCATCAAATCTTTTAGGTTTCATTATTCTTCTTCCAATTTTCACACTTTTAGGAACGTCAGATTCTTTTTCCGTATCTACCCAAAAGAAATTTGGTTTACTAGCAACGTTGATAGTTTTTCCCGGTCTTTTCATATCTCGAACCCAAACTGAATCATTCTGATTCAAATCTGGAAGATTCTTTGCTCGATGTCTTCTACCATACTGTATCTTCGACTTTTCTTGCTCTATTTTCTGCTTATTTAAAGCCTCCTCATGGTTTGGTAAATTTGGTGTCAGCTTATTTGGTTGGATCGGTAGTATTTTTGTCAAATTCCTTCCAAAAAGCAATTTGGCTGTACTACTCGCACAATATTAATATAATTATCGTAATATTGTATCACGATATGACAGAAGACCCAAATACCAATCACATTTCTTTATCAAACTATTCATCAATCGTACTGCTCGTTCAGCATGGCCTTTACTCTGAAGTCTGAGGGAACCTTCGGCTTCTCATTGTATGAATAAACTCATATAACTTGGCGAAATCCCGGAATTCTTCACAACTGAACTCTGCCCCTCCATCCGAATACATAATCCTTGAAATTCCAAATTGACTGAATATATCTCTCAACTCTAGAATAACATCGCCACTCTTAGTTTTATGCATACACTCCACAATAGGGTATTTGTAATAGATATCCTGTACAACGAGGAAAGTTTTGTTCTTATTTACAAATAAGTCAGACGCTACATTTTCGAAGGGTACAGTAGGCAAATCTCTCAAAGTCATTAAATCCGTCTCTTGATCGCTATGCTTAATTGATGCACGTATGACATTTCTGGACATATTCTTCGATAAATAAGTTGATATGTGGCCAACCACACTGATTCTTTGGATCTAATTCTACAACTGTTAATACCTTGATGTCCTATGTGATAGATGTATCTATCTTCATAAGATGAAACGTCATCATATAAAGTGATATCATTTCGATATTCATAAAATGTTTGGCATTCATGTTCTACTGCATTTTTTCGCGGCCAACCATTCTGGACATAGTTTGCCAAAATTTGTAAATTTTATTTGTCGTTTTTTCTGTTGATGACATAATATTCTCAACTTCATATCGCAGAATATTTATATAATTATCAATATTGTCGTCAAGAATATCTCTATCATTAATTCCATCATCCAATGGTCGACGTGATCATGCATCAGCAACATAGGACAATTTACCAGTGACATGCTCTATGTCATAGTCATATTTAGCAAGTCGTAATCGAAATCGTCGTAGACGAATGGTCAGGGCGTTAATTGATTCTTTCTTCAATACTATCAGTACAGGTGAATGGTCAGTTTGTATTGTGAACATTTTCCCGAGAAGATATTGTTCCAACCTTCCTGCAACCCATACGCACGCTAAAGAATCTTTTACTATCTGAACAATACATGATTGGAGCCCACCGACCATAATCTTGCAGCTGTTCTAAGCACCCACCGATGCCGTATGATGAAGAATCTGCCAGAATTCTTGTTTTTATATTAGTATCATTCAACTTCAGAACAGGTGCAGAAATGACAATCTTCTTAAGCCTTGAAAAGCAATCATGATGCTCCTTGGTGAATTTGAAAACTATATTTTCTTCCAGTTGATCTCGTAGAAGTTTGGTCTCTCCTACTAGATTATCCAAAAACTTCATTAGATGGTCAATAAGTCCAAGGAATTGACGTACACAAGGGCGTCGCCAGAGAGGGGCAGGGTGGGGCAACACAATTTCGTGAACAATGAGGCGACAGAATTATCTCGAATATTAAGAATATCGTGATATTACTTATGATAACGCTCACTTTGAGCAAAGAACTTCCGAAAGTATATTTTTCTCCTGAAATTGAGAAGGCTCTGAAGATCCTTGTTGCCTTTACCTTGTAAGATTTGTACAGTTGAAAGGTCATTTAGTAGCCTTAGGAGAATCAAAACCTGGTTTAGGAGCACCATGTATGATGCTTGACTCAATGGCCTCGCAATGATGAGTATACACAGGCAACATATTTTCAAAAACTTAAACGATTTCGTCAAAAAGTGACCATCAGTTTTTTTATGGCCCCCCCCCCTCCGATTTTTTCCGCTGGCGACGCCCTTGGACGTACATGAGTGACGTTTTCAGGTGGAGGCAATTTGACTATAGCATTCACATTAGAATTATCTACTTTCAGTCCCTGTTGATTGATAAAATGTCCTAATAAACTCATCTCTTGGATTCCAATTCCACATTTTCTCTTGTTCAGAGTATGAGACCATTGGTATTCACCAGTTTTAATACCCTTAATAACCGTTCATTATGCTCAGCTCTGGCTTCTCAAAAAATTGTGATATCGTCCATGTGAACTACCATGAAATGTCTTGTTCATAGGTTGTTGGCAAATTTCAGGTGCAGAAGAGATACCAAATGGGACGCGCTTATATCTAAATCTTCCTAGTGGTACAAAAAGTAGTAAAGTCTTTAGATTCATCCGATAGAAACAAGATGCGCAATCGATTTTAGAGAAGAATTTTGCACCCTTAATTCTAGCCAAAGTTGAATCTACTATTGGTAAAATAATGTTTTCACGCTGTACATATTTATTTAGTTCTGTGGTCCGATTCCATTCAAAATTGGTAAGTGGGGGTTTTTGAGGTCAGAGATCATGATTTTTTTGTTAAAATTTATAAATTCAAGATGGCGGCTTCCAAATAATTTTTTGTTTTTGTATAAATGACGATAACTCCGTTGTTATCAACACAAAACTATCACTGCGCCATATCATCGGTTAGAGAAAAAAAAGGTATTTGTAACTAAGTCATAGTGAGCTATGACCTACATTTGAAAAACTAAAGTTGGTGCTGATATCTCGAATTCTAGAAGAGTTGGTATAAATTTCATATTTTTTTCGTAATCACTTTGAAATACTGCCATGAGAATGTGAAATTCCTATTTGAATATTTCCATAAATAAAGAAGTTACGGAGGAGACATGAAAATGATCAAAATCTGTTTTTTGCGTATAAAACAAAAACGAATAGATTTTATCAAAATATTTTTTCACATTTTAGTTGGCCGTGACAAACTCCACATTTGGTGTCATTTAACCGACCTCGTGTCTCTCACCGTTAAAAAGATACCCATGGTGAGCATGGTAAGTGGGACACACTGTATATCTGAGGATACTAATTTTCAATCAGAGACAGTATTCTCGTACCAACTCGTAGTGGTACTATAGTATCAAAATGTCAACTTTTTTGACTGATCATATCATTGTTGACATTGGGAAGTGATGTGTCTTGAAAGTTCTGTCACGTTATGGCGTTTGCATGAGAAAAAATGCCACCTTCGTCTCTCAAATGGGAGATTAAAAGTACCTCCCTAATATTTTTTTTCTCTGAAGTGCTCAAACATTTTTCTTAAAAGTTATTCCGACTGATAGAGAGCGGTTTAATATAACACATATAGAATGATAGACATTATACGAGTTTCCAAAGACTACTGAAAGATATATACAGGGTGTCTCAACTTCAACTTGTCTAACTCTGACAATTATTGATGAACTGATTCAACTCATTATAAAAGTGTTTTTGAATGAATATCCTATGATGATACATTTGTCGAAGCTATACAGGATAAAACATTTTTCCAGTCATCTGATATTGAACCCTTCTGAATAATTTATTGGATCACCACTGGTGAATTGAGACTAATATGGTGAATTGGGTATTCGACAGGATAAATGATTCTGTTTCCAAATGCTCATCAGGAAATGCAACAGGGTGGTAGGTATGCTTCTTCTTCAGCTTCCGTATTTATGAGACATAGGTATATAGGATTCATATACCTATACCATGTGTGGAAATCTATACTAAAGCGCATTTTTTGTAACCAACCATTTTTTTCTCACCAACGTTCCATGACTTTTTCTGGTGGCGCCATCGTCTGTTATTGAGTACCCCCTAGAAAAAACATATCTACGCATCTATCTGGAACCATCATCTTAATCTCACAAAGTCAGCATTCAATTTTTTTTCAATTTGTTCACAAATATCATTTTCCGTCATTTTATTTTTGTAAGTGTATTCTTGCCAAAGAGTAGGAATGTTCGAGAAAAAATACCAAAGTTTTCATCGCAATATCAAGACGACCCTATTATAGGTATATACTTTCTGGTATAATGACAAACTAGTCCATTTTAGAATGAGAAAACATAAAGAAAGAAACAAACAACTCATAGGTTGCTGGGCAACTTCTACAAACAGAGTTCGTCATCAATGTAATTATTATGTGAGAACGTGGAAAGGTGTAGGTATATAATAATTCATGTTTAGTACAGAGTTCAACTCCAACTCCAATCCATTATCAGTATAACTATTTCTCCATCTGAATCTAGTAATCATAGGTAAGTTATTTCAATTCAGCTTATTTCTTCCACCAATTGATGTGTTCAAGAGTGTCATTCAATACGAGTGAACTTCTCAGTGAGTGAAATATTGCCGAAAAGGCAAGACTTCAAAATTTTCGTCAACACGTCAAAGTTAGTTATCCAAACAGATATACCTAGTTGTACAGGATTTTTCATCGAAGAGACCCACCTAGGGCAAGCGAAATTTTC